TCTTGCGCAAGAACTCTGATGCTCCTGCTCAGGAATAAGCCCTCTTTCGCAACTGTTCTTGCGCAAGAAATCAGTGTAGACAGGCAACATGAATTTTTTGAGCAAGAAAGCCCTATGGTTAAAATGGCCATCAGAGCTTTCTTGCTCAAGAGAGCATCTACACTGGCAAGGATGCTCTTGCGCAAAAGCACATCTCTTATGCAAAGGCACATGCTAGTGTAGACTCTCTTGTGGAAGAGTTTTTGCACAAGAACTCTTCTGCAAAAGAGTTCTTGCACACAATCGTGCCAGTGTAGACATAGCACTTGAAGTGCTGATTTCTTGGAGTAGTGAGGTTGGTCTCCCAAGCATGGATGTCCCTGCTCACTTTGACTTTCTTTACATCCTTAGTGCAGTGTTCCATTATTTGCTATTTATATATAACAGTAAAGTTTCCAACTGTAGCAAAAATACTTGAGAGATTTTACTTTAATAATGATGTGCATATTTGTCACTCTTGCATGCTTTAGCTTTGCAAGTCCTTTTTCATGTTGATTTGTACCATGCAGTTACCTTCTCCTCTGTCGTCTTTTACTTCCATTTCATTTGCTCCTTTTTGGAAGAATGGCAGTTACATAACAAAGGACACATTTTTCACTATAATTCTAAGGCCATGATGTCCTACATGCTAGCCACTAACTGTTTGGTCAGCTGAGTGTGGCTACTGCTTCAGGACTGGTTGGACACCACTGCTCTAAGGGGAGAGTCTTTTCTCACATTGAGATACTTTGTTTTAATAATTTTCTTAAACTGATATGTATATACAATATAATAAAAATTGTAGCTTTTTCTTTTGGCTATATTTAAATAATCTTAAGGAAAATGAAATCATCACTTTAATAATCTATTGCAATAGATTTTGATGCTGGTTTTAAATAGAGATTTAATTTTCATCTTTAAATCTCTAACAAGTTCTTTGCTCAATGTAAATGTGGATCATACATCTTGTTGTCTGCATTTTTAAGATCCAATTACTTATGATTGAGTTACAGTAACATCAGTAAACAAAAAGCATGGGGTTATGCACTGGTCAACACAGACTTTTGATGGGAAGTTCCAGTTATTGATTCTTACTAATATAGAGCATCAGTGTGTCCTTTAAAAGATGGGACATCGGAGGGGAGGATCTTTAGGCATTAAAAGGAAGATAATTTTAGGGGTGCAAAGATTTTTCTTATTAGGGATGTTTTTAATAGGCATATTTTAGTTCTATATGAGGTCTCATTTCTTTACAGTTTAGCTAAAGAATTCAGCTTTTAAAAATGTTTGTTGGGGCTACATAATTGGATGACAACTTTGTGTTCTTTACAGCATTCTAAACAAAAATTGTAATCCTCAATTGGCACATGACTTTTACATTGCCACGCTAGAGGGGGAAAGATGATTATAGGGATGAAGCTGCTTTTTTCAAACCCTTTAGTGCAGGGCTACTCAACATGCGGCCCGTTTGTTTGCGGCCCACTGTGTGGTTTGGGTTTACGTGGGGCTCCACATGTGGCCCACGGTTAGGATCCTTTGAACATGGTCTCCACTGGGAACATGCTCCACAATAGCGAGGCGTCTCCCAGGTGGGTTGAGCACTGAAATATGCAAGCATACAGGCTCGCTGGAACAGGCAGATACAGGGTGTTGGTCTTTCTAGCCCCAAGGGAGGAGGTGCTAGGAGCACTGTGTCATTGTGGGAAGTGCTTTGTATTCATGCCCATCAGTGTGACATAAGCTATTTGCATATATTTGCATGTATATGCAACCACACTTAGATTGCAGCCCTCGGCATGTGCTGTGAGTATCACTGTGGACCCTGGGGCTTCCACAGTTGAGTAGCCCTGCTTTAGTGTGTAATTTTTAGTAGCTCATTTATGTGCACTTCAACATCTGGGGGAAAATTCTGGACTTCTGGTGCCACTGCTATCTCCAGGTTCTTTGCACTTTCTGTGCCTAACTTTTCTTGCCTAGTAGATAATCTTTGGGTTTGTTTTGGGCTAATATCTGAAATAAGTAAGTTGTAGTGTGCAAATGGATTTTGCAGATCTAAATGGATAATCCAGTATTTTGAGTTTAAAATTTTGGCTCTGAATTAGGGATATAATTAATTAGTTGACAAGCATTTGCTTATCAGATAGTTGAGTAGGAACTCAACTAGTTGTTTTCCCTGTCCTTGCTGCCTCTATCAGAAAGAGGCAGCAAGGGGGAGGAGCAGGATTGGTGCTGGAGGGAGCTGGCTGAAAAGCTGGCTCCCCTCAGCACTGTCTCTGCAGAGAACAGGGGAGGCAGAGGGCAGCGGGAAAATGGCGTGAGCTGGTCCCAGGGGGAGGAGCAGGATTGGTGCTGGAGGGAGCTGGCTGAAAAGCTGGCTCCCCTCAGCACTGTCTCTGCAGAGAACAGGGGAGGCAGAGGGCAGCGGGAAAATGGCGTGAGCTGGTCCCGACTGCTGCTCCTCTCCCTTTAAAATGTACAAGAGCTGCTTTCAGCTCTTGTAATTTTCAAAGGAAGAGGCACAGAAGGGAACCTGCACCAGCGGGGACTGCTTTGGTCCCTGCTAGCACAGGTTCCCACTGCCTCTCCTTTTGAAATGTACAAGAGCTGCCCACGGGAGGTATCCCAGAAAAACTCTGCCGTGTCCAGGGAATGCAGCTGGTCTTCAGAATTTTTTTTTTGGAAGAGCAGATGCACTCTTTCGGAAGCCCTGTAAATCTCATTTCACGAGGAAGAAGGGCTCTTCTGAAGGAGGAGGTTTTTCCGAAATTTGGTCCAGTGTAGATGGACCAAATTTCAGAAAAGCCTCTTCTGGAAAAAAGATTTGGAAAAAGATACCCGAATTGCAAAGTGCAATTTGCATACCTTTTTCCGAAAAATAAGTGTAGTGTAGACATAGCCTCCCCTTTGTAAAGTACAAGAACCCTCCTGTTTTTCCCTTTGTAATGTACAGGAGCTGTGTGTGTCTCTTGTACATTTCAAAGGGAGAGTCACAGCAGTATAGCAAGTGCCCCGCTTATCAACTAATCGAGTAGTCAGTGGAAATTCCATTGATTACTTGATTAGCTGATTAATCAAAATTTAACATCCCTCCTCTAAATATGTAACATTGACAACATTCTTACCATCATGTAATACATGACAACTTTAGTGGCTGGAATTATGATCTGTCTAGTTTTCTTTAAAAACAGAGAAATATTTCATACATATACAAACATTGGAACTATCCTATCAAAACATTTGAGTAGTGATGAAGTACAATTTATCTAAGGCAAGCCAGTATTCTCCTTTGAGAACCTAAATGAGAATAAAACAGATTTCCTTCATCTGTTCTATATGGTTTTATACAAGCACTTACTATGGACATATATAGTGTCATTATGGTATTTTCTGTCTTATCTAGCTATCCTCCTAGTGGATCCTGATAGCTTTTTTTGACTGTTACTGCATCTTTAGCTTATGTCTGCAAAGAATCATCCACAACAAATCAACACCTTTCTTGAGTGGTTACGAGTAATTTAAATCCCATTATTTTGTATGTATAGTTGGGATCGTGTTTTCCATTATACATTACTTTGCATTTATCAACATAGAATTTCAAATGCCATTTTGTTGCCTAGTCACCCAGTTTTGTACTCTTTGCAGCCAAATTTCGACTATCTTAAGTAATTTTGTATCCTCTTCACCTCATTGTTTTATCTTTTTTTTAATCATGTTGAACAGCACAGGTCCTGGTACAAGATTTGAGCACTATTTTACCTCCTGTCATTATGAAACTTGGTCATTTATTCTTACCATTCGTTTCAGAGCTTTTAACAGTTTTCTGTTCCACAAGAGGAACTTCCCTCTTATCCCATGACTGCCTACTTTGCTTAAGAGCCTTTGGTGTGGGAACTTGTCAGAGGCTTTCAGAAAATCCAAGTGCACTGTACCCTCTGGATCACCCTTGTCCACATGTTTGTTTGCTCTCAGAATTCTAATAGGTTTATGAAAGGGAATTGTGTCTCAGCAAACTTATGTTGACTCTTCTACATATTGTATTCATCTACATGTCTGATCATTCTGATTACTATAGTTTGAACCAATTTTCCTGGTATTGTTGGAGTAAGGGAGGACTGTGGGAAAATCAATTAACTGGAGGATAGAAGACAAAACATCCACTTGCACTTTTACATACTACATTACTGTAGCTTTCAATCACATGATCCTAAAATATACCAAATTGTATCTTTTACACATCATCTGAGTAGCAGGTTAATGTAAATGACGCTGCTTTGCCTCCCTCACTCTCACACTCACACTAGCTTGCATCTAATGCTCATTTTACACAATTATAATCTTTGGTTAACACACATTAGTAAGGCAATTTCACGTCTCCACACCAAATGCTGTGAATGATCCAATTCCACCCTTACCTGATTAAGTTCATTAACACAAGCAATTTCTTCACTGTACAGGCAGTCCCTGGGTTACGTACAAGATAGGGACTGTAGGTTTGTTCTTAAGTTGAATTTGTATGTAAGTCGGAACTGGTACATATTGTAGGGGAAACTCTAGCCAAACATTTCTCCAGAGCTCAGTTTTATTCTCCCACACCTCACTTCCCTCAGTCCTTTATTCTCAAGCTGAGGTGTCTGCTGAGAAAAGCCGCTCCGCGTCTCCCTGGTCTGATGGGGGGGCGCTAGCTCTGCAACTCCCTGGTCTGCTGGGGGGAAGCGGCCCCCACGCCACCGGAGGCAGCGACAGCGGGGGAGGCACCCCGCACTAGCTGCGCCCCCCCCCCCCCGTTCGTAACTAGGGATCCGACGTAAGTCAGATTGACATAACCCGGGCTCTTCCTGTAATCCCATTATGGTCTCTGATTGAATAACAAACTGGACTATGATGAATACTGAACTATTTGAAATTTGACTTATCTATCTTAACACTTTTTCCCTTTAATAATGTTATAAAGGGCTTATTTTAAAACTTTTTTCCTGTTGCAGATTTACTGACAAAATAATGAAATAAAATATGGAGTCTTCTATCCTGGAATATATTTCATGGACCATGGGGGAGAGAGCCTGTGTTAAAAGGAAAAGGAAGACTCAAGGAAACGAGAGAACAGCAATATAACATCAGAAAATAATTTTCTATTTTTGTATTGTATTATGGCCATAGTATTCAAGAATTATCTTCCAATATATCTTCTAATACTTTGATTCAAAAACATCTTTAGAAGGAAAAATCAGATACTGTGGCTTGCTCAGCAAGACTTTCATTCCAACAAATCTGGATCTTCAAAATAGTTTAATTTGAAGGGGACATCATCATTTTGATGGGTTTTTCATTTTCTTTTTTTTTTTCTTCTTTTTTTTTTAAGTCTTCAAAGTTACAAAACTTTTTGTGTGGTTCTAAGTTTAGTTGACAAGACTGTTCCTGATAAAGAATTTTTCGACAACAGCTGTTGGCTATATAAGTGGAAGCCACATTATACTATCTGAAAGTATGCCATGAGTTTAAGGCACTTCTCATAAGTCCTCCTCCTTTGCCTTGTACTTGTCATATCCTTAAAAATATTAAATTGAGCTATTTGCACTCTTGTATAATTAAAAAAAAATGGCGTGGGTAAAGTTCTTGCGGAAGCCTGCAGGTAACCTTGGAAAAGTATATCAGCCTGGAAGTATGTTGTCTTTGGCCCCTACCAAAGGCTTGTTAAATGAACCAGGGCAAAACAGTTGCTTTCTTAACAGTGCTGTACAGGTAAGGAAAATGGTCCTCACTTTTACACTTGTTTTACCAAAAAAAAAAAAATCAAGTTGATGTTTATAGCAGCTTAATTGCATAATGAACATATACCTATTTTTTAAAGGATATTCTTAAAGCTGTCCTATAATTAATGAGTTTTGCACTGTAGAAGTACAGTAAGATTTTCATTTAATGGTTTTGACTGTGTTGATGCTTTTCTTAATCTGTTTGATAATGATGCTGCAATTCTGCTAAAACTATAGTAGTGTTTCCTCATTTGTAAGAACACTCTTGAACAAATGGTTAATATTTTAAAGTTGCAAATTTTTGGAAATCTGTTTACTTGGCATCTATTTTTGAAGATTGGATTAGCATGATTATAAATCTTTTGCTAACAAAGTAGATTGTGGAAGATTGAACAAATGAAAGAAACAAGATACTATGATAGTGGTTGGTGTTCTATGGATTTCTCTTAAACAGCCTAGATTTATCTCAGATCTAGTCTTCTCAAGTTGTAATGAACAGTCACACTCAAACATCTATTCTGCCATTTTATGTGCAAGATTTACGAACAGGCATTTGTCTTTCAAATGAGAGAGCTATTTATATGCACATACTGAACCTTTAAAACTTGTATGATGGCAGAAAATGTTTGTAGTGTTCCTGTGTGGATAAAGAGTTTATCTTTATTATTTTTAACTTAAACTAATATCACTTGAGAATTTAGTACATAAATCTATAGTACTCAATCCAAATTCGTTTTGTTGGTACCTTGGTCTGAATTCTGTCTTATTATGCATGATTTTATCAAAGATCTGATTCTAATCTCATTTATGTATATAGCAACTTCTCTGTATAGTACAACCTCTTCCTGATTTACAAACCGGTTACAGACCAAGAAATTGGTCGTAACTTGGTTCATTCGTAAGTCGGACCCCATAGAGTTACATGCGACTGCGCTGTTCGTAAGCACGGATCGCGTTCGTAACTCAGGGTCCGCCATTTATAACAGCTTTGTTCATAACTGTGAATGGTCGTAAGTTGACCGATGGCAACTCGGGGACCAGCTGTATCTATGATCAGAAACTTGTTCCATTTTGTCAAAGAAATAAAACCCAGATTTGTTTTTACTGTATAAAAGCATATATTTCAAAAAGCTATTTTTTACATATGTATATCTTGTTATAAACTGCCATGTTTATCAATTAACTATAGATCTAAAACAACATGTTCTGAAGGTCATTGTAGGTTCCAAAATTGACCTTGAATTAAACTTAGACATTCTCCTGGGATGCTGTATGGTAAAAAACTTCCTTTCAGAGTACACCTGAAAGGAATATAAATATAGTGGGCTTTTTATATAGTGTAGGCTAGTCCCCCAAGTACACATTTTTCTCCTATAGAGGAATGCCAGTCCAATTTTTTTTTAAAAAGCCCATGGTAGGGTGGGAAAAACATACTTTCATAGTAGAAGATAACATTTCCTGTCTTGAGAATACCAATACAACTAATTTCAAAATAGTGTTGGAGCTCAAAAAGTTTTGATGTCAAATAAAATTTTTGGTTAGATTCAATTTTTAACATGCCTGTTGTTGTGTGTTCTGTTTTTCCTTCATTATCCTGCTGTGGGGCATCTTTCCTATTCTTGATATTACATTTAACTTTTAAAAGAATGAAGGGGAACATCTCTCTTATTGCACTACTATGCTTTAGTGAGATCTGCTATACAACAGTTTCATATAAAAATCTAAAACACAAACACAAAGGTGCATAAATATATTGCAGTTCTTCTTTGAGAGATATCCCCGTGGGTGCTCCACATTAGGTGCACCGCCGCAGAACCATCGAATAAAGATTTTAGAGCAGTGTCCCTGGAGCCATGCATGCATGCATCTTCAGCCATGCACTCCTAGGTGGCAGGCATCGTGCATGCGCAATCTCCCCTCCTTCCCCTCAGTTCCTTCTTTACTGCCTCCGGCCAGAGACAATAAATCAGCAGCACTCCCTGTCTTGTTCGTGTTTTTAGATACTAATCACTTTTAAAACCAGGTTTTTTCTTGCTGGTTGATCAGTTTTCGGTAGCTTACTTTAGTTCATTTAAAAAAAACCCCAACAACCTTTTTTTTCTCCCAGTCTATCCCCTTCTTGTAGTTAGATAGCCGGGCATGGTGCTGAAAACCAAGCAGCAGCAATTCCGGTCCATCCCATTGGACTATGAAAGCAAGAGACTTGATTCATTTGGACATACGTTTTATATGTCTTCCACCTTACAATTCCGTATTTCCAATTATGCTGCTTTATTATGTAAATATGGTGTAATTTCTGTAGTCAAACTCAGTGATTTTATTGAGGACATTCCTGAGGAAAAAAGACAGCAGTTAAGACCAATGTTTTTCACCAGCCATTGTAATAAAGAAGATGCACACTATAGAATAGTCTGTGAGTACAGCTGGTCCCTGACTTATGAACGCATCGTTTTACGACCATCCACACTTACGACCAATTACAGCCGGTCCTCAACTTACAAACGCACGATCTGCACTTCTGAACAGTGCGGCTGTATGTAAAAGCATGTATTTCCAATTTACAAACAAATCGAGTTACGACCAGGTGTTTGGAACATAACCCGTTCGTAAGTCAGGGACCGGCTGTATATGAACAGTGTTCATCATACGTAACTATTTTTTTCATTGTCATCACTTCATTCTCCATTTGAAAGAGTGCATTGGGAGGGTGGAATAAATTAAAAAGTCAGAGGAAGACTTCTACCTTTTTTGTGCATTTTCTCTAATATTTACTTTTAATCTGCCATCTGTTTGCCATAATGTTTGCCATAATGCCTGTAACCCTGCCTGTATCTGCCACTTACTTTAAAAATGTGTGTTGTCATTTATTCAGTAATTACAGATATTACGTACACCCCTTTCCATATGTGCAGTATCTGGGATCATTGTTCTTAAAATTAAAAAATCTGAACATGTTTTCATATATGTATGGGAGGCAATAAATGCTGGTACCAAATTAATGGGGCGGGGAAGGAAGGACTGTAATTTTTAGTAATTAACATGCTAACGCTGAACTTGCCACAAAGTTTAAAAAAGTCTAGTAAGTGTGGTTAAATTAACCTCATGTTTTTAGATAAAAATCTTTATACTAAATTCCTTATTTTCTGTTCACATTTATTTTTCTTGTAGGTTTTATGGCAGCTTGATATATTCCGAAGGAGCTTCAGAGGCTTAACTGGACATGTCTGTCAGGGTGATGCCTGCATATTTTGTGCTTTAAAGGTAAATATTGAACATTTGAAATGTTCTTGAATCAGTTTGTATTTCCAGATTTTCTATCCATTTTATGACATGGGGACATCACATTTCATTAGAATAAAATAATACTTTTCAGACATTAATTGTTGGTACAGGTTGCTCCTCCCTTAACTGGGACACCCGGGCCTGGCAACATCCGTGGTCTAGCATGGACCATGGATATTTCTGGACCACAGAGCCCAGGAAGAGGGAGGTCTGGCAGCGAGCAGGAAGGCCGTAAGGGGCACTATTGACTCAGTTGAGGAGCCCAGTGTGTGTGTGTGTGGGGGGGGGGGGGGTGAGAGGAGGACGGACAGCATAGCAGGGACCTCCGGCCCCAGCAGCGGCCGGGGAGCTCTGATCTCACCTGTGGAGCCAGGCAGCTGCGGAGCTCTACCCCAGCTGCGCAGCTCGGGCCATGGCAATCTGGCCCTGGCAATAGTGGGGCTACAGAGAACCCCGGGGGGCTGAGGCAGCAGCGGGGGCAGGCTGGAGTCCTAGCCTGGTGGCACCATGGCTATGAGGGGAGGGACCTTCCCTGGTCTGGCAAATCCCCCCCATTTTGGACCAATCAGGTCCTAAGGGTACTAGGCCAGCAAGGTCCAACCTGTACACATATTCAGTCTGCTGTAGAAAGAGACCTTAATCATAAGGTGTTGATATCTAGGGGTATTTCACGAGGCATAATGGAGCGGTCGACAAAAGCTTCCCTTGTTGATTGCGGCGAGTCCAGACTGCCCCACTGTGCCACCAAAACAGCTGATCGGCACAGCGCAGCAGCCATTTTGATGTAAATGAAGCAGCGATTATTTAAATCGCTGCTTCATTTTCCTATGGCTAGTAAACTCATCTACGTGGCTCCGTCAACGGAGCCATGTAGTCTAGACATACCCCAAGGTGTGTGAATATTGCAGCCAGTGTTTCCAAATCTTATTCACATCTGCATTGCAGAGGCATAAGTATTTCTTCTCTGAGGAATGTCCCTGTGGGTGCTCCAGTGTCTGGTTTGCTATTGCACCTGTAGTCGGAGAATTTAAGTAGCAGTACCCTCGGTGGGCTACGCACGTGGAGCAGCCGGCAAGTGCCACTGCAGCTACTCCGCATGCACAGCCAGTTGTTCCTTCAGTTCATTCTCTGCTGCCACCAGCTTCAGTTGGCACTGAGAGCTTCCCTCTGAATAGTTTGTAAATCTCATTAGAGTTAGTCTTTGTAGCTTTTTGTAGTTGTTACTGTTAGTTGTTAAGCCGTTGTAGTTAGTATAATTTTTTTTTTCCTTTTCTCTTGTTGAGACCCCTTTCCTAGTTTGCCGTTTTTTCTTCCTCGGATGCCTGGTTCCCGGAGTTTTAAGCACGACCTGTCTTTCAGGCTTTCAGTTCTAGTGTCTGACAGACATTCACAGTGCGTTTAGTGCCTGGGGCAAGCTCATGCTACCTGCCAGTGTCAGCACTGCAAGCACTTACGGCATGCACGAGAGAGGCTAGAGAACTTCAACTGAAGTTGCTGTTACTAGGAAATACCGTGCATCCGGCATCAGATCATGAGCGTTTGATACTGCCGAGGCAACCGTCCTCAGTGGCAGAGTCTGATAAAGGTGCCCCTTCAGCCTCCAGCTCTAAGGACTCTGCTTAAGACTAGCAGTCCAGGAAGCGAGTCCATTCAGCAGCTAGAGGTGAATCCTCTTCAAAGAAATGGGCAACACCTCATGAAATCCCTCTGGCACCAGCTGCAACTAAGGCACTGGAGAAAGAGGTGCCGGGACTGTCAGATACCAACGGGTCCTGAGTGTCTAAAGGCTTCCCTAAGACTAGCTCTAAGTCACTGAGCAAGTCAAAATCTAAGTTGGCACTGCTGGCACCATCCGACTTGATGTTGGCACTGAAGAAGCTATGACCTTCATCATTGACCAAGCCCCTTTCACCCGACACTGAAGAAACGTATACATATGACACCAACAGCACCACAGATCCGTGCCAGCACCGACAGCTATGGCACTGCAACCTTGTGACTTCTGAAGAGCTGGGAATCACCTTGGTACTGACAGTACACCATTCTCAGCCATATGTAGCCTCTCCATGCCAGCAGGCTCAGTGATGAGGCTCTCCAGTGATAAGGATGAAGAGCCTGTAGTGGGTACTCATACCCCTAGGCACTCTTCCCCTAAGCAATCCCAACCACCACCTCAATGGCAACTACCGTAATAGCTGTCGCCTTCTGTTCTAATGCCCACCATCTGGCCCTATTGGGATCACTGAACGATATATAGCACAGCAGCAACAACAGCCTCAGCCACCCCACCCCCCGGTACATCTCAGGCTCCATCTCTGTCCTCCCTCGACAGGTCTGTATTCCAAGAGGAGGAAGAGTTGGCTTCAAATGAGGAGATTTCTGCTTCCTCACCACCTCCCACTCATATTTCATCCTCGTCACCTGATGACCCTATAATGCCTCCTCCACCCCCATCAGGAGATGACTTCAAGTTGTTTCAGGAACTATACAAGTGGGTGGCGGACAGGCTAGAGGTCTCCCATGTGAGCTTGTCTGAGACCCAGCACAAGTTAACTAGCATCCTGCATGTTTCTACCTCAGCAAAATTGGCATTGTCAATGTACCCAGACCTGATGGACCTTGCCAAAGCCATCTGGCAGACACCTGTCACTACCCTGCCAGTCTGTAAAAGATCAGACAGGGAATACTAAGTGGCACCGCAAGAGGCTGATTTTTCTGTGCTGCTTTGGGTGATGTCTCTGTGCGTGCTCCACTGTTGGTGATGGGTGATCCCCGGAGCTGCAGTTTGGAGCTTTTCGTAGCAGTTAACAGTTGGGCTGCACACGCGCAGGAAGCTCCTCACACTGCTTGACAAGTTGGCGCCTTGCACGGCAGCCTGACTCTCTCCCGCCCCCCCAAGTTCCTCTTCAACCGCCCTCTGGTCACAGACGGAGCTCTGATCTCTCTCGCCTCAGGCATTGTTTCGTCATACTTGCTACTTAATTGCTTTTCCTTATGGGCTATCTCCCTTAATTAATAAAGTGATACAACTTCAGAGAGAAAAATGGCAGAGAGAGAACACGCTGTTCCAGCTGACAGATGATCTCAGTGGCAGCAGCTTTGATTCCCCTCACTCCCCGCTTCACTCCCTCAGTGGGGTTTCTCTTTACTTTTTTTTTTTTTTTAAAGACGACAAAACAAGGCACCCAAGTCTTAACAAGACCCAATCATGAGACATCTACCCGACTCCAAGAGGCCAATTCTCAAGGTGATCATTCATGAGGGACACACCATCGCCTGCATTGCTCTATTAGCACCCATAGATGTTGTGAATACAGTGGCCAGAATGATGGTGTTGAGGAGATCTTCCTGGCTACATGCAGCAGGGGTGCCTAAAGAGTGACAGACGAAAGTGGAAGATCTCTCTTTTGATAAACAAAAGCTCTTTGCAGTGAACACAGATGAGATCCTACATAGTAGCAAGGAATCTTGCACCACGCTTGGCATGTACACACCACCATACTGGAGAAAGAGATGCACTCCTTATAACAGAAATAGGGACAACTATTTCAACCGTCTCCAGCAAAAACCATACGAGTATAACTGACCCAGGCAGCGACCCCAGGGAAGTGCCCACCTCAAGCACGCTCCTTCGGATTGCAGACCAAACAGTAAATTTGAGGAATTGGTCAAGGGTTTGCCCGACCTCTAAAACCATGCAGTGGCAGTAAGCCAGGAACGCCTCTTTACTCACAGATTGCGCCCCTTTTTCCATCTTTGGGCCTCCGTAACATCAGATCCCTGGGTATTGGAGATCATTCACATGGGATACCCCATCCCCTTCACATCACTTCCTCCATTTTCCCCCCTGTCCCTCTTCTGGGACCCCCTCTCATGAGACCCTTCTTGGGTAAGAAATCCATTGCCTCCTCCAGAAAGGCACAGTAGAGAGAGTACCCAAACACTATAAAGGAAGGGGGTTCTATTCAACCTATTTTCTCACCCAAAAGCGGATGGGGTTGGAGGCTGAATTTTTTTTTGCTCTTCGCAGGCTAAACAAATTCCGACACAAGCAGCATTTCAAGATGGTCACGCTGGCTTCAATAATTCCAGCACTGGACAAAGGAGACTGGTTTGTAGCCCTCAACCTACAATATGTGAACTTGCACATCACAATACATTCTTTGCACAGGTGTTACCTCCGTTTCACGGTCGGAGATGACCACTTTCAGTACACAGTCCTACCCTTCAGATTTTCTTCAGCCCCCTGCATTTTCTCGAAGGCTGCCGCTACTGTGAGTACCTATCTTCGACAGCAGGGGGTCATTTTTTTTCTGTATCTTGATGATTGCCTCATCAAGAGGACATCACGAGCAGAGACATCCAAGATAGTAGCCAAGACCAGAAGGTTATTCGATTATCTCGGACTCATCATAAACATGAGTCAACTTTCGAACCAACTCAAGACATCGAATTCATCAGAGCTCGCCTCAATTCTATATCAGCTAGAATATACTTACCAAACCAATGATTCAACGCACTCTGGGACTTAGCGACTTCTCTAATCATGAACCCACCGTCGACACTACATATGTCTTCAATTGCTAAGCCATGTGGCAGCCACTACGTATGTTGTACAGTATGTGCATCTCCATTTCCGTGTGATGCAACGTTGGCTGACTTCTGTCTACAAACCTTCCCAACATCCTATTGGGAAGCGAGTCATCGTTCCATCATGTGTACTAGACTTCCTGAAATGGTGGACTTCGCATCACAACCACCTTGCCGGAGTTGCCTTCCTACAGCCTGAACCATTAGTACAAATTACCACAGATGCCTCACTAATAGGATGGGGAGTGCATATGCAATGGCACAAAGTTCAGGGAAGACGGTCATCACACAAAGCTATGTTGCACATCAATCTCCTCGAGCTTCAAGTGGTCAGAAACATGTGCAGACACTTTGCTCCTGTCATTACGAACCGCGTTGTACGGATCCTAACAGACAACACAATGACTATGTTCTACATAAACAGGCAGGGGGGCGCTCATTCTCAATCCCTCTGTGTGGAAGCTATCTGGCTCTGGAACTGGTGCATCTGGCATGGGGTTGTCCTCAAGGCATCTTACCTACCTGGAGTCAACAACATCATGGCACTGGCATGGGGTTGTCCTCAAGGCATCTTACCTACCTGGAGTCTGCCATGATGTTGTTGACACTTTGAGTTGCAGTTTTACCAGAGACCACAAATGGGAACTACGCCCAGTGGTTACGGAGTCTATCTTCCACACGCGGGGCTATCTAGCAATAGACCTTCTTGCAACCCAGAGGTAATTCCAAGTGTTGCCGAGTTTGCTCTCAAGCAGGACAGGGCGAGGAATCTATGGGTGATGCCTTCCTAATCATTTGGAACAAACCTGCACACTATGCATTTTCCCCAGTCCCACTAATCCCCAGGATCCTGCGGAAAATTCAATATGACATGGCTCGAGTCATCTTAATAGCCCCATCATGGTCCAGACAGACTTGGTTCCTGTACCTTCAGCGCATGTCAGTCGAACCATCTCTCCCACTACCAGCTCAACGCGACCTTCTGTCTCGAAACAGGGACAAACTACTTCACCTCCAACCCCACACCTTACATCTTCACACCTGGCTTCTTTATGGTTCCAGGGTGCCGAATCTCAATGTTCAGAGCAAGTGAGAACCATCCTCTTTCATAGTAGGAGGCCGTCCACTTGAAGGACCTACCTGCTCAAGTGGACATGGTTCATGTCCTGGTGCCAACAGGTACCGATGGACCCCTGTATGGCCTCCCTCGATCTCATCCTAGACTATGTATGCCATCTGAAAAATGGGGGCCTATCCATCTTGTCTATCAAGGTTCACTTAGCAGCGATCACCGCATTCCATGAGCACAGCAATGGAGCATCTGTGTTTGCCCACCCAATCACAAAAGAGATTCCTGAAAGGCCTCCACAACCTTTACCCCCCTTGCAGGAAACCAGCACCTTCCTAGGAGCTAAATCTAGTCTTGGACTGTCTCATGAGGCCTCCCTTTAAACCTATGGCCACCTGCCCACTCCCATTCCTAACTATGAAGGTGCTGTTGTTGGTGGCCGTCACCTCTGTGAGTTAGTGATATTGGGGCTCTCATGGTGGGCCCTCCATATACTATATTCACAAAAGACAAAGTTACTTTAAGACCGCACCCATCGTTCATGTCTAAGATCAGCCCCTCCTTCCATATTAGCGAGCCCATAGTCCTGCCTACATTCTGCCTGAAGCCTCGTGCATCCCACAGAGATGCTACCCTGCACAACTTAGGCGTTCAGCGGGCTCTAGCCTTTTACATCGATAGAACACAGCAGTTCTGTAAATATCTGCGTCTTTTCTTGTCCCTCGAAAACCACTCCAAGGGCACTCCCATTTCAACGCAGCGTATGTCTAAGTTGATAGTAGTCTGTATGCTACATTGCTACTCTCTTCAGAATAAACACTTATCAGCTCTGCCTAGAGCACATTCCACTCATGCCACTGCGACATCCACCGCCTTTCTGAACAGTGTCCCCTGAAGGACATATACCAGGCGGCCACATGGTCATCTGACCACTCAATTGCTAGACATTATGCTATCATGCCTCAAATAGCAACTGATACAGCAGTGAAAGATAGCACCACTGTAGCCACTGCTCAGCTGTAACTCCAAGACCCACCATCCTTACGGAATTCTGCTCTGTAGTCACCAACAGTAGAGCATCTCATGGGGACATCACCTGAAGAAAAGGAAGTTACTCGCCTTGTACAGTAATGACTGTTCTTCAAAGTGTGTGCCCACGTGGGTGATCCACCACCCTTACTTACCTTAACCCTCCCCTCTACTCGGTGTCTTAGTAGCTCGGGCGTAGATGAAGAACTGGATGGGAGGAGGTCAGGCTGCTGCATCAGGTGCCAACTGTCAGCGGTGAGAAGTACCTCTTGTGAATGTGTAGCCCAATTGTAAACTGCTACAAAAAGCTCTGTACTGCAGCTCTGGGAATCACCCATCACCAACAGTGGAGCACCCATGGGAACACACACATTGAAGAACAGTCGTTACTGCACAAGGTGAGTAACTTCTTTTTTCCTCACCCTCTCCCCGAACTCTTTGGTTATAGATGCTGTTAACCAGAAGGGAAAGTAAACTGCCACCAGGACCACCCCATATGACAAGGAGTGGAAACACTTGGACTTAATGGGCAGAAAGGCCTACTCCTCTCCATCCCTGCAGTTACAGATCACAAACTATACTGCCCTCCTAGCAGTAAGGTTGTGTCTCAACTTGATAAGAGTAAACTGTATATTGGATCGTGTCTCAACCAAAATGCAGAAATGGGATAGTTTCCTTCCAAACCAATCCATTAATTTCAAAATATACAAATGCAATATGTTACTAAAAGTGTTGTGTATGTATATTCCCGTAGTATTTACAGTAGTTTTATTTTTAGGAAGGGTAATGGCATTTTTTTACTTGCCTAAAGTGAATAACACAGTTTTGCAAGGTTAATATGAAAAAAAAATGCCAGTGATACCATCAGTCATTTCATTTTCTTTCAGACAATATTTGCACTGTTTCAGCACAGTCGAGAAAAGGCACTCCCGTCAGATAATATGAGGCATGCCTTGGCTGAAAGCTTTAAAGATGAACAGCGTTTTCAACTTGGCTTCATGGATGATGCAGCAGAATGCTTTGTGAGTATTTACAATTGTTATTTTGTCTCTTAGGCGTTTTTCTTAGGATTGTTTTGTACATTGCAAAATTGGCTCCTTACATTAAGCTCTGACAGTTTACTCTTGTAGAGTGGTAGAATAGAACCTGAAGGATGTATTGTATGTAGTTAGAAGAGTCTTTATACAACACAGTGTTTGGGGGTTGTTTTTTTTTTAAACCGAGTGGACATCATGCTTTCCCAGTGACTTCCCCCCCCCTCAAGCTCCAGTTCACAGTGCCATCATACACAAAAAAATTTCAAAATAACCTGTTAAAAACAGAGAGAGCATTGATCCCAGCCAGCAGTTCTAAGACTTGAACTATGCTTTTCAGTCTACCCAACTGAGTTGCTATTTTAATGTAATGAAATAACCTCTTGATCAATGAAATGTGCTTGACACAGGGAAAGAAACTAACATTTTCATTATGTTTAATGACTGTGTCATAGTTCATCCATGAATTACAAACAGAAATGGCTAAAAAATGGCTAAGAAATATTTCACTGGCCACATCAAATAGTCAGCTGTCCTGTGTTTAATTCATTCAATATGTGAGGGTTGTCCACCAAAGATAATTACTTAAAATATTACATAACATGAAATGCTGCTTGCTGATCATAGATTTGAAGTATGAGAGTATATGTCTGAGGGATGTAAAAGCGACTAGTCAAATAGTGACTCAATTAGTTGCTTCCCCCTTGTTGCCTTTATCGGAGAGAGGCAGGAAGGGCAGGGGGGAGGGAAGCTTCTAGTTGAGTCACTATTTGACTGTCCAATTAAGCTTATGCTATCAGAGAGAGGCAGCAAAGGTGGGGAGGGGGAATAGGAGCCACAGACAGGGGCTGCTCTGGTCTTGTCTGCTGGATTAAGCGTGAGCTGGGACCAAGCAGTCCTGGCTCACACTGATCTAGGAACTGCACCTCTGCATTTTAAACGTAAGAGCCTGGCTGCTCTTGCTACATTTGAAATGCAGAGCCGCAGCGCGAGTGGCTCCTGTAGCCAGCACGAGCCAAGAATGCTTATTCCCGGCTCCAGCTGGGTTCTGGAGCTGCAGCTCTGCAGAGCTGTCCTATTGACTAATCATATAGTCAATACAAATTGTATCAACTATATGATTAGCTAGGTAACCGCAATTTAACATCCTTAATATGTCTGTCTTTGGACTTACCTACATTGACCCTTTCCTGAAACCCACTTTTTGTTGGCTTAGTACCAGAGCAGTACCAGCAACAACTATGGGAATGTGAGTGTAGACAGACATGCAGACTTTTTTACCATGGTGTCATCTAAATCTCAGAACGTTGTTGGGAAATCACCGAAAAAATTTTAGTCCTAAGTATTCATGTAGATCCTGTCATCTCTGTTGAGGCACACTAAAATTCCAATAGCTTAAAATTGTTTGTTTCTAATGTAATGTAGAGTCAGTGAATTACTTGCATCTTCATTGTATTTCAACTCCTACGTTTTCCAAATTTGAGATTTGCTGACATATTTTCTACACTTTCTGTTTTTTGTAAATTGACGTAGATTGTAAGCTCCTTAATGAAAATAAATCACGTTTTGTCTATGTAGTGCTATGTGACTGTCCCGATATGGTTAGGATTTTCAGAGCAGCTTTATAACAAATTACTGATTACTTCTTTTAAGTTGTCACCACTGCTTCATATTCCATAATGAAATTGGTGGCACTAGACATTTTGAAACTTTGGGAGCCAAGTTCTTGTGTAAATTGGCACACCTCCATTGAATTTTAAGGAATTGGCCCTGTTTCTCATGCTCTGAAAAACAATGAAAAGATGGCTTAGAAAAGCTTCCTTGTGTTTAATCCATTGATTTGGTATCTGATTGCATGAAAGAAAGTGATCTAGTAACTTATTATAATTACTGATTGCTGAGATGCTGTTTGTGTCGATTAACACAATTGGTATCAAGCTTAAAATCATTTTGATTAATGTGATGGCCTACTGGAATTAAATTTTTTTTTCTGCAAGGAGCATTCCCAATCTGTAACTGGACTACCATTCCTCTTGTTTGTAGCTTGACTAGCTCTACCTCCTAGTTGTTAGACAACTTGAGCATTGACCCTTCTTGCTGAAAAGTTTGTGATATTTCCTCAGTTTCTAGCTATTTCGCAGCTGATTAATAAGCACCTTTCTGGAGAAGAGCATTGCCATGAAGCAACATTTTCAGCTAGTTACTTGTGGTAATAACTACCCTGGCCTCATCCACAGGTGTTTAAGCTCTGGAATAGGCTTCCCAGGATGGTCATGATGTCCCATTGTTGGAGTCTTTTAAAACAAATTGGACAAACACCTGTTAAGGGTGGTCTAGGTTTACTTGGTCCTTGTCACAGCTCAGGGGCTAGACTTGATTTTTGAGGTCCTTTCAGCCCCATATTTCTATGATTGTGGGATACTTTTGATAGATTTCTGGAACTCAAATTGAGGGATCTTTGTCTACATGACAAAGCAGTAGAGCTTGAACCCTGGTTGCTGGCTTGACTGGCTCAGACCCAACATCATTGAAGGATTCTAGCACATTTGGGCTGAGTCCTGGAGATCTGCATGTAAGTGGAATGGAGGTTGGACTCAAGCCTGAGTCTGAGTATTGGTCTACATTGCAGTGTAGGCATATCCTTAAGATACTTCTTGCAGAAAGGTGAACTTTGATTCCAGCTTAATTGACTTTCTACAAAGGAGACGGCATGTCTGAAGGCCACTTGTTAGCTCTCATTCTATTTTGTTAATATTAGAAACTGTCTGAGAAGAGAATATAGGCTGCCATTAACTGGGACGGTGATAAATACATATTTCCTGCCAACAGTTAGGAAGTAAATTTCCTGAAGCCATTAGGAGAATTGGCCAGAGTAACACACTATTGGTAGTATTTACAGAAAGTGAATTGATAAGAGATGAAAATCCATCTATTTAAAAATGTCGTCATTTTGTTTAGGAAAATATACTTGAGCGAATTCATTTCCACATCGTGCCAAGCAGTGAAACAGACATGTGCACTTCTAAATCCTGCATCACTCATCAGAAGTTTGCTATGACACTATATGAACAGGTCAGATATTTGTGAATCAGCTTTTTCTGCTGTTTTATTGCCAATTTCGTGAAGTAGTGAAAATGAAAAAAATCTTGTTTATTTGCAGTGTGTATGCCGTAGTTGTGGAGCATCATCTGATCCCTTGCCTTTTACAGAATTTGTGCGCTATATTTCTACAACAGCCTTGTGGTAAGTTCCTTTTTATCATTTCTCTGTCCAATTTCTCCCTCCACATAAAATGCAATAAATGTTCCTATTTGTTTCTTTGCTAAAATTGACATATGACAAATTTTCCAAATATGTATACAAATTTTAGATAGTAAAGAACATAGAAAGGACTTGATTGGTATTGATTGGCTTCTGCTTAGCCTATCAATGAAAAAGGAAGTAATCTAAATTGACTGTCCCTTAATTTTCAAGTAGTATACAAAATACTTCATGCTGTGCTTATTCCATCTGTCATTGACTGCTGCTAGGGTTGCCAGATGGTTGGAAAAAAAAATACTGAACCCCCTCCCCACTCCCATCCCCTCAAAAAAAAAAAAAAAAAAAAACCCCCCCCAAAAAAAATTTTTTTAAAGGGGGGGAAAAAAAAGGGGGGGGGAGGAGACCAAAGTTGTTGAGCCACCCTCCCCACCTCCCAAAAAATTAAAACAAAACAGCATGTTCCCTTTAAGAGTGAGTGCAGGGATAGGAACAGGGGAGAGCTTGAGCACTAAGATCCAGGGGAAGCCTTGGTCAGCAGCCTTTTTGTGCCGGCAGCCTTGCGGAACCAGGAAAGCATGGGGGCTGGGGGTGTTGGGAGGCAGAGGCTGGGCGCTGTGTGTTGGTAGGGTTGCCAGGTGCCCGGCATTTTTGCCTCCTGGCCGGGGAAAAAAAATCAGAAAATACCAGACATTTTAGGTGTCCGGTATTCTCTGAATTTTTTTACTGGACAGGAGGCAAAAATGGCAGACTGTCCGGGTGAATACTGGACACCTGGCAAACCTAACTGCTGCAGAAGGATCAATCGCGTAATAGAATTAGCTTTCTGAGAAGGATGGAAAAATTATGGTAACTAAAATAAGAATAGTAATGCAAAAAATTCCTCTGCTCTACCACGAATTACTGTATCTCTTTCAAATTCTTTATTGATAATTGTACAGGTTGTACATCTATATGCCAGGACTCTCTGGTCTGTCAACATGTACCAGGATCAGAGAGTCCTTGCATGCTCCAGGGAGGAGGGGACTGAAGTCGGAGGTGATGCAGGAGTAGGGGGGCAGGAGGCCAGTGTGCAGCCCACCTGGGCTGCTCATAGGACCGGGAGCTGGAAAGCTGCTGGTGTGCAGTTCAGCTGAGCGGGTGTTGGTGATGGGAACTGGGAAGGCCGACATGCGGCTCAGTTGGGCTGTGCGGGGAGAGCCGGTCTGCGGGAGGGAGGGAGGGGGCATGGGAAGCCCAGCGTGTGACCCAGCTGGGCTATCTGGGGAGCTGGGAAGCCCCATGGGGCAGCAGGGCAGGGGGTGGAGATGGCAGCAGGAGCCAGGGAAGCTCATTTCTGGCCCCCAGTAATATCCCTCATCTGGGACCAGTCAGGTCCCAAGAGTGCCAGACCAGGAAGCTCCAACCTGCGTACGTGTTTCGATATATTTGTTAGAACAACAGACAAGCTGGTCTGCTAGCAACAATTGGATGTATTCTGGGATATTACAGAAAAGGCAGGAAGGTAATATAAGAGAAGCATGTTTCAGTAGTTTGAAGAGTGAGATGAGTGGGACAAGACAAAGTTTTAGTCATGATAATAGAAAGTAAACTGATGGATTTTTGGAGAAGTTATAAATGGGGGAGGGAGGGAAGTAACCAGATTTACTTTTGTGAAGAAAGGAGCTGAAAATAACTAGGTTGTGAGCTCAGGTGAAAAGGAAAGATGGTGGATTCTTAAGTGAAATTGTGTTTTTATATATATTTATATATATAGATAGATAGTATTTATATATATAGATAGATAGTTTGCATGCCAAATCGAAAGTTTGTCGTATTTTTTTTTCTTCTTTTGCTTTTCCTTGAGGTATGAGAACTTTTTTTTCTGACTTTTAGCTTTAGAAATATCAACACATTTGTCAAGTCTGGTCTCCTTTGTTTTGCAGAAGTATCTCCAGCATGTCTCTGTGTTGGTTTATTTTGGTCAACTTTTGTGATTTATCTGAAAGTGGGGCTGTTTAATTGTGGGGGTTTTTTGTTTTGTTTTTTGTTTTTTAGTTTTTTGAGGGAGAGAGCTTTCTTGAGGTTTTTATAATATAAGGAATCCCTCAACAAACAATAAAAATAAACTCTTCCAGCCTTCTCCGTACATCAATAAAACCGTACATAGGTCACATCATTTTTTTAAATGTTCTCCAGGTGTACTAGGAACTCATTGTTGTGCGGAAATGAGATGAAAACTTGAGCAAACTCCCTGCATTATCTTCCTTTCATGATTGAAAACAATTAATGTTAACTCACTTTTTGCTTCTATCAAGGCCGACAGTAACTTTAACCTGTTACTGAAATTCAGTACAAAAATTCTGCTATTCCACAGTCTCTTTACCATGAAATGAGTTGATCTAACTATCGTTCCTAACAGATTGATAACATCAGAGTACCCATGTTTTGCATCTGATAATCTAGCAATTTAACTGCCCTTTTACTAGTAATATAATCATTCTAGTCAGGTTTGAGGCACATAGCAGTGCCATTGTGGGGAAACTTGCTTGTCTGCAGTCCACATTATAACCTTCTCTGGGTAGAGGGCTTTCAGGGTTGATAAGCTACCATTTCAGGAGAACTAAATTCACTAAAGAAAAAAAGGGTAAATATCAGTTAAGAAAACTGGGCAATCATTCATTACATTTTAGGTATACATTGCCACGCTAAATTTTTGAGAGATTTCTTGTGAGCGCTTAAATCTGTTTACTATTAAAGTGGGTGATTTCTAGTTAAATGTATTCCTATTTCATATTTACAGCAACGAAGTTGACAGAATGATGGAAAGGCATGAGCGTTTCAAGCCGGAAATGTTTGCAGAATTGCTACAGGCTGCAAATACTACTGATGACTTTAGGAAGTGTCCTGTAAGTAGACAGAATAAACAGTTACTATATTTCTATGATTTGTATATAGGGGATAATTTCCTAGTATTCAGAGTCTGTCATATTTTGAACAGCATTTGTGTGCAGCTCAGGTTTGAACATACAAATACTTGCATCTACTCTTAGATCAACAGCTGGGTTTTGTTAGCTAAAACTCTTCACTTACTAACAAATCGTATAATTTGGTTGAACTTGATAAAGCTCAATGACTAAATGCAACTTCCTTTTAATGTGTTTAGTATTGATATGATTTGACAAAATAGTCTGTCTTCCATCTGGTTCTTCATGTACATTTTCCTCTTATTTCTTGCTTATGCCTGCCTTCCTTTCTTTCTCTGTCTTGTGTTTGCCTTCTTGTTCTAGTACTGTTTGTTTCAGAGCTACTGAGAAATATTCCAGAAGAATCCAAGATATTGACAAAGCAGCACGGATCAGAGAGAAGAAAATTATAATAAAGTCAAAGCCCTCCATCTCAGAAATTTGCCATAGCGGGAGGGTGTATGAAGTCTGTCTGACTTTGGAGATGACATGGTCAAGATGTATCTTGTGTTTTTATAATAAAATGTGATTGCTACTGTCAGTTTAGAAATAACTAAATTTAAACTTGAGGTTTAGAAGGAATTGTGAAACTGCTTTATTTTTACTCTGGTCACCCAGTAACTCTAATTTTCTTAATTTTTGGCATGCTCTATCTTTTCTCTCTTTTTTTTTCTTCTAGAGTAACTGTGGTCAAAAAATAAAAATCCATCGTGTTCTCATGAATTGTCCTGAGATTGTGACAATCGGTTTAGTCTGGGATTCAGAACATTCTGACCTGACAGAAGATGTCATACGGAATCTGGCAACACAACTTTATCTTCCTGGGGTATCTGAATTAAAACGGTCTTGTTCAAAATTTCAGTCCAAATAGCAAATGCCCCATGGTCATGCCCTTCTTCATATCGTTTGTTACTTGAAATAACTTTATATACAACTAACTTTAGAATTACAATTAACACTTAAATATATTCCCTGATCTATTTTGTGTGAGCTAATCTATTAATTTTCACAAAACACCTATGGGATGAAGTGGTGATAGCTCCATTTTATGGCTGGGGAACTGAGGTGTTGAGTGTAATGGCAAGATTGTCAAGTGTCTGCTAACTTGAGATGGTGAGGGCCTGTTTTTCAGACAAGTTGGTGCATTTTATAGCACTGTATATGTTGAAGGCACAGGTCTAATGAGCATTGAGTACCCAGGAAATGAACACTTAAGTGGCTGCTTGTGAAAAGCTTGGTTTAAGTGATTCCAATGTATCACGTAGGTACTCTTTGGGAGAGTTCTCGAGGGGTGGCATTCAGCTGCCTTAACCATGAGACCATCCTTTTTTATGTAGATAAAACTTCTGCAATAAATGAAGATGCTCCTGCAGATTTCCATGTCTCATTACACAAGAGATTAATCAGTTCCCTGAGCACGGGTCGTCATGTACACAGAATGAGGCTGAGATTTAGACATTACATGTTTATGTAACTCCTGTCATAATACAGACAAACACAAGAAAACATGAATGCAACCTTAACTCTGACATTTCTTAACTTTTGAGTGCTTGACTTTGGAACCTAAACTTTAAATCATTTATATGTATTATTTATATAAAGGACTTTGTCTCTAAGAATTGTGCATACAGATTCTCCACTGAAAATACCTTCTTTAAAAATGGAAAGTAGCAGCAGCCAGATAGATAAATGATACACAGCATGCTATACAAATGTAAAAGTAAATTTTGATAAAGGCATTAGAGGATAGCTCTTTCCTTATCAAAAGTGTCATAGAGTCTTGAATGCCCACACAAAGCATATATTCCCTTTTCAAATACTCCCCAGAGATTCTCCAATACTATAATGGAATTTTCTTTTGGAAAGTTGAAGGGCTGGCTTGTTTACCAGGATTTGAATCTATAGTCTGTCAAATCTGGTTTTTAGAATTTGTGGTGAAGGGAAGGAAGTAGTTAAAAGGTTCTTGTATAACTTTTGCCTATCTGTTTGCCTTCAGTGTTGTAGCACAGGTCCCCATAGTGGTCACTAGCCAGCATTCCTGTTTGACCAGCATTTCATCCATGTGAGAGAAACCTAACAAAATTGTGTTCATTAATCAGTTTTAACTGAGACCTTTTTCACACAGTATACTTAGGAAGTGACAGTATTGAATAACTTCCTATACCAACAAAATCTTACCCAGCTTCTCCACTAAGCTACAAAATTCCTAGAATGTTGATGTATTTGTTCACAAAGCATTGTCCTACTAAACAAACCTACATATTTGGGAAGTATTTTTGAATATTTAAAATATTGCTTTGGAACTGTGTATATACATATTTTAGTGATAAAATGTGAGTATTAAAATCCTAAGTATTGGTAAAATTGGTTAAATTCTAAATCTTCAGTATTGTAGATTATTAATTTGAAACTTAATATTCATGGAATTGCTTTCAGACAAATAGTGGCTATGGAATATTAGTGTTAACTGAATCTAACTTTATCCTTTCATGTATTTTTCTTTAATCTATACATAATCACTTTTACAGCTATTCTATAGAGTTACAGATGAACAGGCCAAAAATAGTGAACTTTTTCTCGTGGGGATGATTTGCTACACAAGCCGACACTATTGTGCCTTTGCCTTTCATACCAAGAGCTGCAAGTGGGTGCTGTTTGATGATGCTAATGTCAAAGAGGTAGGCTTTGCATTACTGCTAGTAGATTTAAGTACCTTGATTTTTTTTTAAATGGTCTATTGTGCCCAAAATATATTGTTTCCTACATTTTAGGCCTAATTCATTCTTTTCTTGCCAAACTTAAAACACAAACCAAATTTCCTTAGTTTAACAAAAATAGTCTGACAAGTCAATTTTAAGTAAAAAATATATGCACAACTTCACTCTTCTAAAATGAACATTAATTTCATTGAACATACTAAGAAAATCATATTAATAGATTTAATAATTAATATGATGAACTCTTGATGGCTATATTTGTAGTGTATTGATGATTAGCTTGCAAATGTTTGCTTTTCTCCTCTAATTTGCATAAATTTAAAATGAGTATTACTTCTATAATTGTGTTTCTAGGATGAGATATTCAGTTTGTGTAATGTCTTCAGTTTATTTATGATGCTTATAATGGAGTTGAAGTATTAGATATTTTTATATTTGCAAAAATATGGACTTTTTCTTATTAGATTGGAACAAAATGGAAAGATGTGGTCTCCAAGTGCATTCGGTGTCACTTTCAGCCATTGCTGTTGTTTTATGCTAACCCAGATGGTACAGCTGTATCCACAGAGGATGCCCCTAAACATACCATTCACTGGTCTCATTACAAAGCAGCTGGAGGAAATGCAGATGATTTGGGTAATGAAGTCTTGACTAATATCATTAACATGACCAGCATCAGGGGTTAATTAGCTGTCAAGTTCTGAAGTGCCTTGATGAAAAATTATCTAAACGTCTTTGATAGCGTGTGTGTGTATACTTTACACATAATGTTTTGTTGTAAATGTGAATTGAGACATGAATAAAGGATTCCTAACTAGAAAAATTTTTTAACTATGAAAACACTAATGGCTAAAACACACTAAAATTACACAGAAGGGTAGCCATGTTAGTCTGTAACTGAAAAAAATTAAAAAACAACATGGTCCTGCAGCATCTTAGAGACTAATAAAGAATGTTGATAGTATCATGAGCTTTTGTGGTCCCAACCCACTTCTTCAGATAAACGGAACAAAGGGTCCAGAGTTACAAATAAATAGCAGAAAAAGAGGGGAATGGGAGAGGGAAGGGGGGAGGGGGAGAAATCTTGTCAACTAGAGTGTGCTAAATGAGGCTAATAGAGTGGTCTGTTTAAGTTGGGGGCTGTAGGTGATGCTTAGTAGTGTTCGGTTACTTTGTTAGTTGGTCCTGTCTTGAAGAAACTGATGCCTGGGTACTCGTCTGGCTCTGCCAATCTCTTTCTTTCCTCACTTCCCTGAGAGGGTATTTAAGTTTTAAAAATGCCTGGTAGAGATCCTGTAGGTGTTTGTCTCTGTCTGTGGGATTGGAGCACATCCAGTTGTATGTTAGGGCCTGGCTGTAAAAAACTGATTGGGAAATGTGTTTTGGGTGGAAGCTAGAGGCATGTAGATAAGTCTAACAGTCAGTAGGTTTCCAGTATAAGATGGTGGAACTGTGGTCATCGTTTAAGAACATAAAGTCCCTAATGGTTCAGACCAAAGGTCCATCTAGCTTAAGGATGTTAATTAGCGGTTAATTGACTAGTCGATGGAATTTCCATCGACCAGTAGATAGACACTTCTGCATTCTTCCTTTTGAAACGTACAAGAGCCCCTTTGTACATTTCAAAGGAGGAATGTGGAACTCCGTGTGCAGCCCAGGGCCAGCAGGAAGTCCCACTGACTTGACTGCATGCGAGTGCCAATTTTGAAATGCACAAGAGACCCCAGTGGGGGCTCTTGTGCATTTCAGATTGGCAACGCAGCATGGAGCCTGGGGTCAGTGGGGGACTCAGAGTCCCCCGCTGATCCCAGACTCCATGCTGCTCTGCTGCTTTGAAATGCCATGCAGAGCCAGGGACAGCTGAGGGCTCCCCAACTGATCCCGGGCTCTACGCATGCAGCGCCGCACAGCTGATCCTGGGCTCAGCTGTGTGGCGCTGTCGCTTTCAAATGCCGCCTTTGCCCCCTCCCCCTTTGCTGCCTGTATCTGCAAAATTAGATTTGGCCTGTTTCCATTTGTTTCATGAACTGCTACCTGATTGTCTCAAGGAAGACAATCAGAAATGAACACCATCACCATGTTTATACTGGGAAATTGAATGTGTAACATGTTACAAAAAATCTTAAGTAAACTGTTATATAACATTTAAAGTAATCCAAAACTATACTTTTTAATTCTTGAAATTAAAAATAAATGTGGTCAAGATGTAAATGAGCAATAATTTCATTTATGAAGATTGTGTAATTTTATAGGATTTGAGAAGCCAGCTGTTCCAAAATCAGATCTCACAAAAGAGAATGGATTTGGAGAGAGTGCTAGTCAAAAGAGCAATACAAAATTTCAGACAGACAATTCACCATTTAGTAGAAGCCATATTCAAGCAAGTAGTGGTAGAGGGCCAGGTATGTACCTACTTAAATATCCAATTTACTAACTTTTTTTTTCTCAGCTGTGTAAGTTTGGCTACATTTTCTTTGGTTGCAAAGCTTGTTCTGAAAAAGTTCCATCATAGGTGGAGAATTCAGTACCAATCACAAAGGATGATTAAGTGACATACGAAAAATGATATTTGAATGTAATCACTTTCTGACTATACACACATACCAGTTCTCCACTGCTTTCTCCCCTATAAAATCCCCTATTATAGTATGTTGGCCTGTAGTTGTTGTATGTAATTCTTTGCTTTTTAATCTTTTCTTATCATGTGTTTGAAAGCATAAGTAGTAATAGTCACTTCCTTTTCATAGTGTCTTTCTACTGCATTTGTTAAAACATCAGTCCATTTTCATATATAAATCAGATTTTCAAGTTAAGACAGATTACAAAATTCTCATATCAGGATGTCAACATTGGATGATGCCAATGCAGGAAAGACACAACTTGCCCTCACTTCCACCTCTTTTCCCTTGTTGAGTTACAGGCAGTTTTCCCCTTGCCAATGTGGCTTACACCTTAAAGTCCAGTAAGAGAAGGAAAGATCTAGCTAGGAGAAACTGGTACTGCTTAATTGAGATTTATTTCTCTTCTGTGCTAATTACCCCCGCTTGTCTACTAGCGTCTAGAAGATATAGATATTAGCTAAAATTATTTTCTTCATATATCTTGAAGCCTGACTTGTTAGCTGCTGCTATTGTTGTTGTTTAATTTTAAAAATGTTCAACTTGCTACTAACTCACTTGAGACTAATGGTGACATAAAAATGGACACTGCTCTTTGATTGGGAAGCATCAATTTCAATGAAACAGATTCTTTATTGAAACTCAGTTGCATTCTCAAAAACAGAGCCTTGCTTTAGATGCAATAATTAGTATTTAAACTCTCTCTTCAGTGTTTTCGTGTTAACCCTAAAGGTTAATTCTTTAGATCTAAAGGAAAATGTGTAATATGTTCACACCTACAAATAAACCTTGTTTTCATGAAGCATAATGTACACATTTTGTCAATTAAATGTTATACCTTGTCATTTGTAAGGATTCCTTTCAGGCAAGTATTATATTTAAATCCATTAAGGTTTTCTCTGTGCAGAATGTTCTGGGCTTCTAAAATTTGAGATAAATAAAAGATGGTATAGTATTTGTATGTAATTCTGTTACTAGTATCTGAAAAATGAAGGTATAATAAACAACTGTTTAAGATGTAATAATGACTATTTTTGCAGTTAAGTTAGGATACAGTGATCAAAAGGACAAATTGAAGGACATTTCCAGAGAGTGTGCTCAGAAGGCAATTGATATGAAAAACGTTCCATCCTACCTAAGAAAAGATGCAGAGAGAGGACCAAGAAGAGACTCTGGGAGACACAGAGGTACACTTAGACTGTCATATCTAAAGCTTGATTTTTTTTAAATATCAATTTGTCTAGATTAAAAATGTCAGTTGTATGCTAAAATTGCCACTTTTGACAAAGGAAGAACCTAAAATCAAAGTCTCTACTTTTACAGACCTTTTTCAAGTATATGGCATTTGAGGTGTAGTTTCTTCAATTGTAATGGCATAGCAGGAATACATAGCTGTCTTAGGCAAAAAAAAGTCAGACAGGGACGTTTTTATTAAAAGAATGTACTGGAAGGAGAACTTATTTAGAGGTTTTTGTTTTGTTTTGTTTTTCATTTACAAGATCTAATAGGGGATGACCACCCTCACTTTAAGTCAGGATCCCCTCCTGCCGGAAATGGATATAGACCCTATGCTGATCAACGCCAGTATGGTAGCCAGGGAAGAGGACCTTATAAACATGAAAGAGTACTGACCCAAACAAGGCCTACTGCACAGGTGTTAGGGTCAAATAAAACAGAAGCTTTTCCTGCTGGGGAGAAAATGATGAGCAGGACTAGGGCTGACAGTGCCACTGGCTATGATACAGACTGCAGCCAAGACTCTAGGGACAAAGGAAGTGTCACCAGAAGCAGAAACAGAGGTTGGAAACCTATGCGAGAGACCCTGAATGTGGACAGCATTTTCAGTGAAACTGAGAAGCAGCAGCATAGCCCACGACATAAGGCAAATCCAGGCAGTAAACCTAAACATGAAAAGGAGCAGAGCTTTAACGTTTGGCCAAAAGAGAACCAGACCCAGAAAGGGTTAATGACTATCTATGAAGATGAAACAAAACAGGAGACAGGGAGCCGGAGTTCCTTGGATTCAGAAGGAAAAGGAAATACTGAGAAAAGTAAAGGATTTACAGAGAGAAGAGTCCATACTGATAATTGGCAGATGCAAAGAACTGAATCTGGATACGAAAGTAGTGATTATATCAGCAATGGATCTGCCAGTCTGGATTCACCTGTTGTTGAAGGAACCAGCCCGCTGGACATCAAGGTTATTAAAGAAAATGTTTCCCTCAGGTAATGCTAAAAATACTCTTTAACATACAAAAGAGCCTTTGCCAGTATAAATTGTCTTAATGTTATGTGGTGTTTTCTGGATTGTGGGTTAAGTTTACTATGTGAAACGTTCCATCTTTTATTGTAGACAGAATCTGTAAAAACACTAAGAAAAGCTGAAGTTTGTTCCTGGAGGGTCGGAAGGGTTGAGTAGGAAACAAATGCAAAATCAAATGAACTTTTTAATTATGAATTTTATATATAAGTGCAATGAACACTGTTCAAAATTCTCATTAAATTCTCGAGTCTTGTAAGGACTGCAGAATCGAGCCCTTAGTGAATAGAATTTGAGAAGATGAATAGACAAATCTGTGAGATTGGTATGAAATCAATGTTGCATATAATCTAGAATGAAATATTTTATTTATGTAGAACTCTAGATGTACATTTTGCAGTTCACTGGGTAAAGTGCACCAAATACATCTGTGCCTGAAAGAGCTTATAATGTAAATGCACAGGCATTTTAAGCAATTTTTGTTCCCAAATAACATAAGATGTGATTGACAATCACCTTTCACATTCACATCATTTGTTTAATCACTGATAACATGGAGAACCAACTGTGTATTCTGCTCATCAATAGAATATTCTGCTTACACAGTAAGACTTGTACACTTTGTAAGGAGACATGCTCTAAATTAGTGTTTGTAAAGCAAATGTTTTGTACTATATGGGTACGTCTACACTACAACGTTAATTCGAACTAACTTAGTCCGAATTAGTTAATTCGAACTAACTTAGTTCGAACTAACGCGTCTAGAACTAAAAACTAGTTCGAATTAGCGTTTTGCTAATTCAAACTAGCAAGTCCACATTGAGTGGACTCTGAACAGGGCTTAAGGATGGCCGGAAGCAGTGCCGGCAGGGAATCAGAGGAGGACTTAGAGCATGGAGATGCTGTCTCAGGCTAGCCGAGGGCTGCGCTTAAAGGGTCCCGATCCCCACCCCGGACAGACAGTTCTCAGGGGTGCCCTGCTTGCAAAGCAGTCCTGGCTTGGATTGCCCGGAGTACCCACACTGGGCACATCACAGCACTCGGCCATCAGCCCGGCTGCACTTGTC